TAAATTATTAAAGCCATGATTTAAACTGTTCATATGGTAAGATGTAGCGTGCTTGTGCTGACGTTTTCTTCCTCCTAGGCTTTTAATTTTATCGCGCACTGCGGTAGAAGTTTTAAAACAGCGGCCTTCCAATGTGCCGGTTAGGAAAGTAGATGTATTAGATTTGGCTTATGTTAAAAAAAGTAGAGGTAGACCTAAAAAGACTTGATTAGAAAATATTAGAAATGATCTTTCTCTATTAGATGTAAATGAGAATTTGGCTTTAACATGACACAATGGAGAAAAATGGTTCATGTAGCTGACCCACGTAGTGGGATAAAGGATTGATTATAAATAAATTTTATGGTAAGAAAGACTTGTTTATAAATAAATTTATTAGTGTGTATAGTGTTAATTAAAATATTTTTTAATTTTATGTTTATAATTTTAAGAACAGCCTTTGAAATTTTGTTTCTTATACAATTCTTTTTGATCTTTTGGTTGGATGTAGCTTTGACTATCAACTAAGAGGATTATATCTCATAATTTTTTATATAGTTTTAATACTGGCTATTTGTGAACCGTATAATTTGATGAATAAATTGACTGTTACCTCCAATCTTTGACAGAGGAGTTAAAACTTGTGTAAAATAATGAGGTGTTTGCATGATATTATTATATAATTATTTGATGAGTACATCATTAATGTGTATATAATTGGAGTTTTTTCTACATATGAAATGTTATCTAGATGAAGTACAACTGATAAATTTATTTGTCCTTATTGCATGAAGCCAAAAAATATATATAAATATTTTGATTGGGACAACTTTCTTATTGTTTTCTAAAATAATTTTTTTAATAAAAATTTTGATGTTCAAAAATTTTTTGAACTAAAAAGTTGTTTTAGAAATCAATTTGAAAGTTATTCTAACAGTCTTATGCTTCTTTTGGGGCGTCTTTTTTAAGGCTTCTCAAAGCAGTTTTTTAATATAAAAATTAAAATTTTTGTATTAAAAAATAGTTTTAGGAAGCATTAAGAAAGTCGTCCCAAACGAAACCTTAGTTTTATTATTACAAATAAATTTTGCTAGCTACTCATGTTCTTAGACGTTGTAAATATTTATTTATAAATGACTTTCAGAAATGATCCAATTGAACGCAAAATTGTTCACTAATCTTTCTGGAGTGAACAGTGCGACATCAATATCGGTGTTCCGCAGTTCACCTATGCCAAAAAAAAATTGGCTTACGGGATTTGCGGAAGAAGCATCATAAAGAGAAAAAAGACGGCTCATTTGCAATGAGAAGAAATGGAGTTCAATTAAAGATAAATTAGTGCATTTTGAAGTTTTACTGTTTTTTTAAGTTGAAAATGAATTTTTTTGTTGAAGATGTCCTAAATAAGGATCGGCTATCCAATTCAATATAAAATAAAGAATAAGTGGCCTTATTCAATATTAATTACAAGCAAAATTACTATGATAGTAATGGACATGTATGATGCTGCAAAAAAAAGAAATTTACATACATACCACTTTATATCATCTTATTTATATATTTAAACTCAAAATTTTAATATTACATAAATATCACCCTATATTATTTTAATATCAAATATACCACTCATATTTTCTTCCTATCACTTACATATTTCATTTCTACCACACATATTTGATATGAAAATGAATTATGTGCGATATGTTTGTAATATTAAAATTTTAGATGTTAAATATCTAAATAGAATAATATATCTATACTACTATTAAAGTGCCGCTTGTGTTTCTCCCCATACATCATCCTGACCGTTAAAAATTTTAATGTTTATATCTATCGTCCAATTTCTTAAAGCTTTATCCTCATCTGTTTGCGAATCAAAATCCGTCTACTCTTTCAATGCATCCCTCCTCATTTCTGTTCGCAACCCTGCACTCTTCATTCTTATCAAAGCATCCCTACACGAAACGAAATTTTCTTTCGCATTATTAGGTAATATATAATGAAACCTCTCCCGCTACTCTCACTCTCCGGCGCTCTTCCCTCTCGTTCGCAAGCCCTAGACAGAATGAACCTGCGCTCTTCTTCCTTTCGTTCGCACAAACCAGATGGAATGAAGCCCTCCTACTGCCCTAGGCGCACGATCACTGCCACCGACCCTCTCTTACGCACAGGTAATTTCTGCCACATTTCTTCTTCTTGCATCTTCCTCTTCTTCCTTTTTTCTTTTTCTTTCTCCTCTCCTTCATCTTCGTCCTCTCCATTTCTTCTACTTTATTTTATTCTTCATCCTTTTCCTCTGCTTCTTCCCTGTTTTTCCCTTTTTCACTTGTTCTTTTCTATATAAATTTTTCTGTTATTTTGAATAGATAGAAGCAATCTGCTTATTTTCTTTCTTCAAATGGATTATGATTTATGAATTCTATAAATTCTATGAATGTTGCTTCTTTGCTTCACCGGCAAGTTCTTGGTTAATTTCTTTGAACTTTCATCTCATTTGCATATGTTAATGGCGTCCTTTCCGTCCCCTTTTCCTTTACCTCTGCTTTGTGCTGAACACCTGTAATGATTGTGTGTGGACTGCAGACTTATTTTCTCTTTAGAGAAGGATGATTTTGATTTTTTCGAGTTTCTATTTGTAAGATCTCTTTTTTTTTTTTTTTCTTTCTTTGTTTACGGTGGGATAGCTTGGATGTTTTTTTACAGATCTAAACCATTCTAAGGATGCTTCTGTGGAGAGGTAAGTTAATGGGGTGGTATCGCACTAATTAGATATCAATCGCAACTGTTACGTCTTTTCATTGGCTTCCTACTTTACTTGCCTTATAGCTACAAATTTGAAATTTCAAACAAAATTCTGCATAAATGGATCTATTCAGTTCTGAATAAAATAAAATAAAATAAAATAGAATTTATTAATTTATTTTTTTGGATTTGGTAATATATTATTGAGAGTTTAATAAAGCTTTCAGCAATTAGTAGTTCACATAAATCTTTGTTTGTGGAGAAAAATGTAAGAGCTAATGACTTATTGTTTGAATTACTAAAATCTAATTATATATATTTGTTTTATAAACAATATCACAAAATTTTGTGTTTAATATTATTTAGGAAATTGTGTATCATTCTAAGATTTCTTATAAATTGCATTTTTCGTATCATTATATGATTTAGGAAATTTGCTGTAGTTTTTTTATAGAATTTTTTTAGAGAATTAACCAAACGAGATTGAAGTTGAGGCGAAAGTGTATTTTGGAATCATTTTATGTCGTTAACTTAGTTGTTAATAATGTTAAATTTGGCTCAATCATGCCAATGAATATATGCAGAATAATCTATTCTTCTTAAAGTTTTTAGCAACTAAGGAAATGCGCTATTTTACGCATCTCAGTAAATGTACAATCCTAAGTGCTATAATTATAATTTTTTTCTATATTCTAATATACTTTTTTGGTGAAAACTAAGTGATGAATTTGATTAAGAATATTAATTATGCATTTTTTCCTGTTATTAAAGTTATTTTTCTTCTTCTTATTTTTTTTTTCATCCTTTTCCCCAACTTCTTTGTTTTTCCGTTTATTCCCATCTTCTTCTCTATTTTTTTCCTTCTTTTCTCTATATTCTTCTTTATCCGCTTCTCTATTTTCCCCTTCTTCTTCCTCTCCCTCCCATTCTTCTTCTATTTTTTTTCTTCCTTCCCTTCGACGGAGATTTCTCCAGCCCCAGAGGTCAATAAGGTTTCACTTTCCGCTTCAGAAGAGAGAAAGGGTTAGATGTCGAGATTAACGATGGTTCGGCTAATAGTGGAGACGCTTGCTCTTCTGAACACCATTACTTTTGCAAACTAATGTGTATTATTTGATTTCATCCTACGCTTTGGTGTTGTTCTTAGTTCAAATCTGATATAGATCATTTGGTGTCGTGCCTGCGTTAAGATTGTATTAAGCTTTTTTAAGATTCACACAAGACCATGTCTTTGTTTAAAAACTATTTTTGCATAATCTGCAGGCTTCATTTCTCTATCAAAGATCAACTTGTTAGTTGTTATAGCTTTGATATGTAGGGTTGTAAGTGAATTAGTGTATTAGATCAATTATTAGTTAAATATTCCATTATATAAGGCTCATTTATATTAAATTTGAGACACTTGCTCTTCTAAACACCATTGTTTTATCAAACTAATGTGTATTATTGATTTCAACCTACGCTTTGATATGTAGGGTTGTAAGTGAATTAGTGTATTAGATCAATTATTAGTTAAATATTCCATTACATAAGGCTCATTTATATTAAATTGGAGACACTTGCTTTTCTAAACACCATTGTTTTATCAAACTAATGTGTATTATTGATTTCAACCTACGCTTTTGTGTTGTTCTTAGTTCAAATCTGATCTGGGCCATTGGTGTTTTGCCTGCGCTAAGATTATATTAAGCTTTTTAAAGATTCACACAGGACCATGTCTTTGTTTACAGATTATTTCTGCGTAATATGTAGGCTTCATCTCTCTATCAAAGATCAACTTGTTAGAGCTTTGATATGTAGGGTTGAAGGTGAATCAGTGTATTACTTTATTAGATCAATTAATAGTTCAATATTTCATTATAGAAGGCTCATTTATATTAGGTTATTATGTTAATTGGACATGATTGAGATAAAATTTTCTAAAGATATATATACATATTATGGGGTTTAATGATAAAAATAGGGAGTAAAATATCCAAATTTGATAGACGATTGAGGAAAGTTAGGATAGTACTCTTTTGAGATGAGAGAGATTCAATTATTGGAAGTTGGAAGCTAGCAGATTGATTGAGGAAGGTCATGATAATCTTTTTATGAAGATAGGAGCAGTGAGGGCTATTGACATGAGAAAAAGATTTATGAAGATAGGAGAAGTGAGAAATAAATGCAAAATGGCCCTTTGAGTGTGACTAATAATTTTTTTTTTATAATCCAGCGGCACATCCGATAAATAAAGAGACAGATCATAAGTTCTTGCTCTTTGTTATCACAATCAGGGCTCATCGCAATAAGTTCCAAATAAACCTATGAAAATTATTTAGAGACTATAATGCAACTATTGATAATCCTAAAATATTGTTTTAGGTTTTCTTTAACGACAAGTTTGTTATTAGTGTTGATCACAAACCTGAAGCATTAATGTTATTTCAACTAAAATTGATTACAAAGGAAAATAAAAATTTGTTAATGTATCTTGATACAATATTTTAATCAGGATATGCTATCATTTTTTTCAAATAACATTGTATTTTCTAACAAGTAGGTTATTGCTACCTTCTTGTTATCAATCACATGTAAAAATAAAACATTCATCATGCAATACTGAACAAATATAACATTCATAATGCAATATTATTAGAATCATAAGCGGCCAACATTATTTGAAGCATCATAACAACATTGTTAGAAGAAACCTTCAAACACTAAATTATTAATGCACATACGAAAACTCTTCATTTTCTTTGTTTTACAAAACTCTGTATCTACAATACTTGTGTTGCCGTAGTTCTTTTTTTTTCGTCAGATCTAGCTGAAGCAGGCTTTGTGGGAGTTAATATGTTTATGCATTTTTTCAGAATCCTGCTTCTGCATGCACTTTTACCAGCAACCATCCTCATAAACTTCTGCATTAGAGAGCTAAGGTTATGTAACCACTACAATTTTGTGCTAGAATAAAATTGTGAGAGGTGCAACTTTGGCAGTAACATATTAAACCATTATCATGAATTTTTGGATCAACAAATATTATCGTAAGCATTCAGTAACTAAAACAAAATTTCAATCGTAGGAATATAAAAAGAATAAATTTTAATGTCCAAAATAATATGAAGTTATGAAGCGTTGCTGAGTATAAAGTTTATAGTTACTGTAAAAAATGCATACTGGTTATGCTGTGTGAATTATTTTTTTATGAGTTATATTTGGGTCTAATACTATCTGCATTTGACTATGTATTATTGCGCTAGAGTTGTATATGTGTGATGACCTAAACAAATATTTGTGCGATATGATTCATATTCATTGAAAAGTATGTTTCTACTATATAATTACTTGTAGGTATCATATGGTATGTCCAAAGTTGATTTTTTTGTTTGGGGTCTTGGATTGATTGCAAACTACTTCCCTAGGATGTTGGTTTTTCATAGGGCCATCTAAGGTATGATAGAAGACATCGTCCATGATGTTTTGGAACTCAACTGTGTGTGCTTTGGATTAGATATGCTCACATATCATGCCTTGCATTGAGTACATTGCTCGGTGGTTTCTCATGAATCATACCTTATCTTATTATATGCTTCAGTTCTCAAAAATTTTGCTTGCTCTTAAAGTAGTTTGGGTTATTGAATAAATAATTCTCATTTGGATTTGAAGATATTTTGTCTTCCAAAGTTTTCTAAGATGTAGTTCTTTTTTCAATTACAACTTGATTGTTAATTTCTTCTTTATCTCATTTTCTCCTTAATTTTGTTTTTGGTTGCAGATTGTAATTGTAGGTAACTTTATCTGATACATATATGTTGCATTGCAACATCCTTGTTAAAGTGTAACTTGCATTTTTGTTCTTTCTATATATATTTTCAATTATTTTGTTAATTTAGTTATTGTTTGCAAAATATATGTGTAGTTAACTAATTATGTCACATCTAAGCTGTCAGTTGTTTGACATTTTAAAAATACATGTTTCTTTGTTTGATTTAAAATTCTTAGGTGAATATCTTCTTGGGGATAAATTTATGTTTTTCATGCAATTCAGAACAAATATAGCATTCATAATGTAATATTATTAGAATCATAAGCGGCCAACATTATTTGAAGCATCACAATTGCATTATTAGAAGCAACCTTCAAACACTAAATTAGTAATGCACATAATAAAACGCTTCATTAGTCCTACATGTATTTACATATGCTTATTAGATTTAAGTCATTATCCCATTGTTCATGTACTCTTGACGTGCAAATAATATATTATTTCTTTTTATTTTTTGTTTTTTTTTCCATTTCCCATCTTCCGCTCATTTATGCTACTTCTTAAGTTTTGCTTTTCTCATGAATAAGAGTTTTCAAAGATTCACTGAAGAAGCTTCTTCGTCTCTTCTATGATATTCTTATTGTTAGATTGGATTCGCATGCTTCGCTTGAGGAAGAGTTTTGAAAGAGTTGGTAAGGAAATTCTTCCCTGCTTCTACACTTTGTTCCTATCGGATCAGAAGTCACGATGGAAGCTCATCATGAACGTAATGATCTTTTTCTGTAACTTGAATGCATGTACTTTGTGCATGCATTACTTTGTGTAAAAAATCCATTATTTATTTGTTAAATATTTTGATCTTTTTGCTCTTTCCCTTTTTGTCAAACTTGAATGCATGATGCAATTATATTAATATTGTTATTTTTTTAATGATTATTGCCAATTGATAGGGCCAATGCTCAATAACCAAAGCTCTTTGTGTGAATGATAGGTTTTCTTTTCTTTATGAAGGTCTTACTCTTTATGGTCTAATTATTGGAATCATTCTCTCTTCTCAAGCCGGTCAATCTTGCATAGACTAAGAAAGGAATTCTTTAACTTTGGTTTTTCATTATTCGTGGTTGCTTTTTATGTTGATTTGAGAGTACGCTAAGCCGAAGGATTTAATTTAATTTTGGATTCTATTATGATTGTAGTTACATTTTAATTATCATCATCATTCCTTTCTAATGAATTGTCACAATTAGTACTTATTTTTGGCACTTTTATTTTAGGAGTATCTGCAAATTAATTGGCATGCATGTTCTCTGTTACCAGTTTAAATATGAATTTTATATGTGATGTATTAGATCCAAATTTATTTGGTGAGAATTTATTGAATCATGCTTTGAACATGGCAAACAAAGATAGAGATGCCAAGAAGAAAAGGATGAATCAAATTTCCATATTTTCAAGTGAGTATTATAAGAGCTTGATTGCGCTAATAATTATCTTTTTCTTATTCTCGTTGGATTAGAGAGAAAAGGTTGGAGTAGCTCCAGTAGAAGATAAGATTAGAGAGAGTCGGCTTAGATGGTTTGGTCACATAAAAAGGCGGCCTTCCGACGACCCAGTTAAGAGAGTAGAGGTATTAGATTTGACTTGTGTTAAGATAGGTAGGGGTAGACCTAAAAAGACTTGGTTAGAAAATATTAGGAATGACCTTTCTTTATTAGATTTAAACGAGAATTTGGCTTTTAATAGGACACAATGGAGAAAAAGGATTCATGTAGCCGACCCCACGTAGTGGGATAAAGGCTTGATGTTGTTGTTGTTGTTGTTGTTATTCTCGTTGGATGTATATGAGATGATGATTAGTTCATATTTTATTCATCAAATATCATTTTTGTTTCTTAATCTTCATTTGTATTAAGCAGAGTGTCGTTTTAGGTGCATTGGATGTTCGTGGCTACAAGTTTAATAAGTTTTCTCTGTAGCATTTGTCAAGCAAAGGTGTGTTCTTTGTTTTTAAGCAAAGGCATGTTCTCCGTTTTTCTTGGCAATGATCAAACTGATCAAGATGCTTTCAAGTTTTGTTTTTATATATAACTATAAGGAATTGCTTAATCTTATATTATTTAATTCGATGCATTCATGCTTTTCATTTGAATGAGAAACTTCAAAACTGTTATGATAGTTCATGTGTACAAAATAATATGCAGCTGGAAAAATTAATGTGTGATGATTATTGCTAATAATTTCATTTTTTTCATTATTTTAATTAAAAAAGATTGCACTTGGAGCTTTTGCATGGAAGGCCAATGCTCTTGAACCTCAACCTTCGAGCACCAATGTAAATGCAAACTGGGACACAACATTCTTTTCAATGTCTCCAGCTTCCCTTGTTATCGATAGTGTAAGCAACCGCTTAAACAATTTTGAAACACTTAAGCTGTGTTTGTATGGTGAGAATTTGAGTGAAATAAAATGAATTTAATTTAATTTCCTTTTGTTTTCATTGAATCATGCACTGTAAATTATTTAACTATTTTTCTTCCAGTTTATTTAATTTTTATAGATATCAGTTGAAGATCCTAATCCTTAATATCTGATCCAGTTGAATCCTGATTTGAGTTGTTAATTCTCAAAATTTCTAAATATTTCCATAAAAAATCGGCAAGATATCTGCTCTTGGGAATCATTTTGCATGTGCTTGAGATTTTTGGTCTCTTTTGTCTCTCACTCAACTCTCAGTGATTAGAACTTTTGTAAATGCAGAATATGAAAAAAAAATCAAATATTGAGAAGCAAAAATTTTCACGCATATTTTAGAGCCAAAAATGTTTTGATGCCTGCACTTACAAATAGTTCCAAAATAGATACATTTTGTGAAGGCAGGGGAATATTAAGGTGCCAAGGTTTGCTGGCATTTTCACTGTAGCTATATATGTGATGACTGTTCCATTGACCTCTCGGTTGGAACTTCTAGCTTTCTCATTAAGCTGCTTCTTTCTGAGTCCAACTTTAGCATTTGGGATTTTTGTTTGGTTAGTCAATTTTTTATGAAATATAAAGCACGGTCGAATTAACATATTATGATCAAATTTTAGTTAAGATGATTAAATAATAGAATTGCGTCCTCATTGGAAACACATTTTCTAAACATTAAA